CCCTCCAAAAAAAAAAAAGAGTAAAACCAGTTCAACCATATAAAGAACCATCACAACCACGCATTAATTGCATACACGTAAGGACTGCAGTAAAAACAAAACATATCAGCACTTACTTACACACTATAACTAAGAATTAAACAAATGAGTCTTGAGCAATTGCTTAAAAGCGTTAGGATTTGTTATTTATCTGAGATCCTGGGTTAAGGTATTCCATATTTTAGGACCTATAAATAAGAAACTTTTCTCATCAAAAGATCTTAATTTCATTCTAGAGGCTCTGAATTGGGTTGTGTCTGTCATGACAGTAACTGACAAGATGGAACATACAGTGCTCAGACATATATGAGGGGGGGTTATTGTTAAAACATTTATAACAGATGGTAGAAACTTTAAATTGGGTTCTTTGTTCAACTTGAAGCAATGCAGAGCTTCTATCAGTTTTCTTGCTGGATCTTTCTTCTTTTTCGTCAGTACTAGTCTTGGGGTGTTAATTTGGTCCACTTGCAATTTCCTCATTCTCTCACATGAAATACCAGACAGAACAGAATTGCAATAGTCAAGTGTTGACAAGACAAGAGAGACAGAGAGCATGCATGCAATATCAGATGAAATACAGTGCTTTATCTTACTGATTCTTCTGAGATAAAGGTATGTCTACATCGAATAATATGATTTACTTGTCGTCCATGGACATGTCTGAATCTAATGTTCTTGGCCTTATTGGAAATGGATACACTTGCATTTCTGATTTCTAACTGGCATCTATTAACATTTGAAGTTTGTTTTTTTTTAACTCCCTAGTGGGATGGTTTCCGTTTTTTCTTCATTCAACATTAATTTCTTTTCACACATCCATATTTTTCTTCATTTTTTTTTTCAATTCAGAAATTAGCAGCTTTTGCTCTTGCGCAACAGAAAATCATGGCTGACCATGTATGAAATGGGCAATGTGTTAGGATTAGACGTCTCTTACAACATGGCGGAAACAACGGTGGTGAGTTTGTTTCACTTGGAGTGGGAGGGGTCCATAATAATAATGCATTATAACATGTGTTTAGGCCTAGTCAATAAAAGCTTACCTTGAAATGGTGACGAGAGGGGAAGATATAGTATATCGGGATACGTTTCGATAGTGCTGTGGCTTAATCCTGATACAAGTTTCTTTAATATCTTTCAAAAGAAAAAAAAATCCGCCTCTGGTGAGGGAGAACAAAATATATGTAAAACTATAGGCGTTTTATACTATATTATAGTGTATGTTGGCTTTTGATTTGAATGAGAATCAGCGGGTCAACTATTTATTTCGGAACAACAACAACAAAACCGGAATGTTATTGTTGCGTCTGATTTTTCACTTCTTTCCCTTTAAAAAAAAAAACCCCTAGTGAAACGATATGCTTTAGAACAAGAAACAAATCAGAATTTACTGAAATCAAGATGAGATGAAGATTCGTCTGAGGGAAACCAAATCCTGTACAGGTAACAGTACTTTTCGCTTCAGGAGAGTTCTCATCTCTCACTAACTTACGTTTTCCACGAGGCATTGGTGCGAAGATCTTCGGGGATAGCGGTACATACATACATACATACATACATACATACATACATACATACATACATACATAC